TCATCAGCAAACTGACTGAGGGAGCACTCTGTCCCCTCGTCCAGGTCATTGTTTCCTTGTTCCTTGCAGACACTGAGATGCACACTGCTTTCTGTTATCTAGATAGCTTTTGATATCACCATGTAGGAAATAATAAGGGGCATGTATTAAAGAATAGTTTAAAAGGTTGCTCATTCCAAAATTGAGGGGAATGGCAGCTTGTCTCTTGTCATCCATGGAAGCCCAGAGTCAGATGAAGTCCTGCTTTTCTGGGAATGAAAACTCACACGCCCAGAATCACCAGGTTCAAACAAATACACCTCTTCGTGCAGAGCAGTTTCGCATGGGCAGCTCTTACACAAGATTTTGGAAAATCTGACAGAGAAGCACGCTGTGAGCAGCCTGTCAGAGCCGAATCTGTGACACTCCTCATTGTTCCTGTCAGGGAGACATGGGGCAGCCAGTCCCATTGTCCCAGCCAGGAGTGGGGCATCTCAGGGGGAAGCATGGCAGCCCCATTCCCAGGCATCAGGCACCTCCCTGGGGACGGTGATGGGCTGAGGGTGGGATGTGCCATGGACCCATGGATGGATCCAGCTTGGCTGGGCTGTGAGGAGCTGGAGACCAGACCTGCTGTGGCATCACTGGGGCAGGGACCAACGGCCCCGCGGGAGCTGACATGGGGTCCTGGGTCTTGAGGAGGGTGCAGGGAGCTCCAAGGGGCTGGGCAGGGACAATCAGGGCTTTGACAGGTCCTTGACAATGTCACAGTTTTGTTAATTTCTGGTTGCTGGTTGCTCAGTTTTTAATCTTAGTTCAGTGTGAGAGTCCTGCAGACATATCAGTCTAGGAATACGGCAAAAGAATCCCCCTTCCAAGGCACTGGATTCCCTTTGCCAGACAGAGTCAACATTTCCTTAGCTTTTTATGTTTTCCAAAAGAGTATCTGTGAAAAGAGGTCATGCAGTGTGTTCTGCAAGGAGGGTGTGGAAATCATACGTATGTAGCACAAACGTTTATTGTTGAAGAAGTGCAGCTTTAATAGTTTAGCAACAGGATCATGAAGGGGTTTCTTTCCTCTGCTCCTTCCATTCAAAGGTCAAGGTTCTTCCCACTTGTCACTTATCCAACTGTCCCCAGAGAGGCCAATGGAAGCAAAACACTCCAGAAAAAAAAAAATAGTTGTTCATTACTTAAGAGTTCATGGCAGTAAGAGCTCCCCAACCCTGCACCAAAGCGAGGAGTTTGCCAAAGTGTCAAAGGTCTTTCTGGCCTTGCTGTACAAATGTCAACACCATGGTAGCTGTGGTGGATCTAAACCCAGACTATCACGCCCTCCCTGTACACAGACATTTGGGGATTCAGTCCCACACCACAAATCCATGTCAAGACCACTGTGTCCCAGGAGGAGAGGACCTGTGTTGGTCCCTCTGCCTCACCACTGAGCACCACAAGGGCCCCATTCACAACCTCAGGCCTTGAAGCAGCCACAGGGACACGATCAGACTGGTGCTATAATGCCTGTGCACCGTCTGCCTCCTGGAAGGACACTAGGCATTCGCTCAAGGCATATGCACATTTTATTTGGTTGCACGAAGCAAAGCACACACTCTAGACCCAGCACACACCTAAGAGTTACTACCTGAATGCTTGCAGGTCTCTGAGGGGTTTCTCATTTATTTTTTCATGGGGAAGACGCATTGGGACTGTCCAGCTTTGGAGAATCAACTTTGGAGCACGACTTACTGTCTTGCTGCTGACCTGCTTATTTTCAGGCCTTGCAGTACACCATATTTCATCTTTGCTGCCAGCTTTGTTCCTCCTAGGCAGCCTTTGAATTTTTGGTCCATTTCTTCATTCTGAGCTTTAGAGAAGAGGTCTCTCCAGTTCCCAACAACCCCTGTGCACAACAAGAAGTACCAAAGACTGAATGCAGCTGCTCCTGAGAGAGGATAATATCTAAGCAGCAATGGGGCAGAATCATTGCACACACAAGGTGCGAAGGATCTGATTTATGCCCCTGAGAGGTCTGATTGTCTGGGAGAGGCAAGGCAGCAAAGATATGAAGTAAAGGATGCAGCCAGGCCACAGGGAGCATTGCTGGTGGCCTGCCTGTACACCTTCCCTCCCCAGAGGGGGTTTCCAAAGCGGTTTCATTAAGCTTTTACACAGAAGAGAGGTAAACCTGGTCTTGTCACAAGGGAAAGCTCATTTGTGAATGCCTCCTTCTGAAAGGGGAAGTTATCTGAGGCAGTGAGGTAGGTGGCAGAGAGGAAAGTGGTTAAATCTTTCTTCCTCCAAGGAGCAGTGAAAGAACAGGGTCAAAGCAAGCCCATACCCACAGTAGTCAGGGACCAAAGACTATGCTGTGGAGAGCAGCTGGGCTGCTGCAGCTCTGGCCTCAGCCCCAGGTCTGTGAGGGACCATCTTTGGGGCCACCACCGACACGTCCATTGGGAGGAACCATATTGAAACTGTTCCTCAACTCTCACTGAGGATGTAACAAGAAGATGCCAGTGAGGCCAGAAGAGCAGTGAGCAATGCATTCCTTTGAGGTTCAAGACACTCTTGTCCCATAGCACACCTCCTCCCAGAGCAGACTTTCATGAAGTGACACGTGCAGCCTGTGTCCATGATCCAGGATTGGCCTCATCACCAGGCAAAGGCCACACAACCACCCCTCTGTAGAGAACAACCATCCAGTCCAAGCATATTTGGTGCATAATTTTTGGTCTAACTTACACCAGTGTTGCCCCCCACCTTCACACCTCACTTGCCCGACTAACTGGAGCTGCCACAGGGAAATAGGGCAACATGGAAGCAATGGCTGAGGACCTTAAGCCAGGATAGTTGAGGCACTCCAGTACCTTTCTCTCAAAGAACCCCAAATCCTGACAACAGCAGAGGCTTGTTGTACAGGGTGCCACAGAAAAGACCTCACCCACACCTGTCCTTCCCAGGCAGCCCAGTAAGCTCACGGCTAAGTGAGGAGGCTCACTCAGAAAGAGACTTTAGAAGGCAGGTTGTCAATTTGCAGAGACTTACCTTTCCGGAAGAGGATATTTCCAAACTTTCCATGTGTTTCCTTGGAATTGTCTTTCACAGCTCGGAAACTGGTCTTCTTGGCAATTCTGGAAAAATCTTCCTCACCCACAGAGAATCCAAAGAAGGCAGCAATCTTTTTCATTCCCAGTACCTGGTCCTGGCCAAATGAATGTAGCAGGGAGGTGAAACCGAAAGACTTGACACCTTGGCTGCAGCATAGAGCCAGCACCTGGTGGGAAGCCCAGCAGAGGATGCTACCTCCCGCAGTGCCACCAAGGAATTCTAAGAGCTCTAACAGAGAAAGAACGCACACATGGTGGCCTCAAGTTTCAAGATATTTTCTTCTTTCCCAAAATGGAGGGTGAGAGGCACCTCCCCTATGAGGACAGGCTGAAAGAGTTGGGGTTGTTCAGCCTGGAGAAGAGAAGGCTCCGAGGAGACTTAATAGCAGCCTTCCAGTACCTGAAGGGGGCTACAGGAGAGATGGGGAGGCACTCTTTATCAGGGAGTGTAGTGATAGGACAAGGAGTAATGGGTATAAGCTAAAAGAGGGTAAATTTAGACTAGACATTAGGAAAAAATTTTTCACTATGAGGGTGGTGAGGCAGTGGCCCAGGTTGCCCAGGGAAGTTGTGGATGCCCCATCCCTGGAGGTGTTCAAGGCCAGGCTGGATGAGGCTTTGAGCAACCTGGGCTAGTGGGAGGTGTCCCTGCCCATGGCAGGGGAGTTGGAACTTGATGATTTTTAAGGTCCTTTCCAACCCAAACTATTCTGTGATTCTATGAAAAGCAACTATACCTGTGCCAGATGTGACTCCTTCCACTAATAGGCAAGGCTCTTCCTAACCCCATGGGCCTCCCCCAGACATAAAAGAGTAGCTCGCAAAGACATGCCCTTCTAAAGGGCAGACAGGCTTGAACCAAGATTCTCTTCTTCCCCATAGCCGTATCAGGAGGGGTGCACAGTGCTGAGTGAGATGCCACACCTCTTTGAGTTCCTCGTAGCTTATAATCATGATCCTCTCGTGGTCAATGTATTTGTTCCATTCCACTAAGTGGTCAAAGAAGGATCCCCAGGCCACTGCAGACAAAGAAGAAACAAAGCTGTGTAGGGTATTCTCCAAAACAGGCCCTTACCAAATCAGAGGAGTCAGCCCAGACAGCTCTCTCTCTAAGTGTGGTGAAGTGGGGACTTGCTCAATTCGTCTGTTCTTTTGGCAGAGGACAGTGTAGGATCCCCCATCCCTGGCCACTAGTTTGCACCGAGCCACAAGCTCTGTAGTGGGAACAGAAAAGTCAGGCTAAAGCTTTCTCATGATCTTTCCATTCAGAGTTAAAGACAAAAGAAATTCCTGATTCTCTGGTACTCCCTGTTTCAGCCCTAACATGGGCCTGTCTGTCTGTCCTGGGAGTGCCTTGGTAAGGTATGCTGGGATGGGATTCCCATGCACTGGGTCCTGTGTATGCCCCTCATGTAAGGAGGAATGCCAGAGGATGCAGGTCAAAGTACATTTCCCACTCATGAAGGCTGAAAAGTACTCATCCCAGGAGGCAAAGGATGGCAGCACTGGCATGTTGTTGTAGAAGTGGTAATAGGAGACAGCCATGTCTTTGGGCTTCCGAATGTGCACAAGGATCTGGAGGAAGAAAACACATAATTTGGTTCTGATTTTGTGACTGACCAAAAGCCTATCTTCTCAACCCACCACATGTCTGCTAACACCCACCAGACTGTACAACGCTGGCCTAATTCCTTTTTTTGCACAAGAGGTCAGAGCTTTGGCAGGCCACTTGCTGCTAACGTGAGATTCAGGGTGAAAACAAGAAACTTTTCAGTAATGCCCTTGAGACATATCCCTGAGCTAGCTCCAATCCAGAGAAATGAGCTCATGGGCTACTGAACAAGAAACCCAAAAGCAGGCTGTGGGTGCACCCTTGCTTCTCTCTGAAGAAATTCCCATTGCAGACTATCCTAGCTCCAGCCTGTGGTGGGCTTTCCACAGGTACTCTGGTCTTGGAGGCAAGTTAAAGCAAATGGAATAACTGCTTGCCCTGCTCAGTTTTCTGACACAAACCTGGAAGTGTCTTTCTGAAGGAGATCTGAAGGGACAGTGACACCCAGCAACAAGCCCACTGACAGCAACCTGCTGAGTTGAGCAAAGCTGCTGCTGGGAGAGGATGTTTGTTCAAAGCCTCAGGAGGCAACACTCTGCCTTTTCAACAGTAGAAATGTGCCTGTGCATTGACCAGCCCAGGTAAAAGTGCAGAAAACACATCTCACACAGATACAGGAAAGCTAATTTGGGGCGGGAAAGCTTTTGCAGTGTGATGCAAAGAGAAGACTCACCTTAGCCTTGCTTTGGAGAACAGATGGGGGCAGGAGATTAAGTGGCAGGTGGGTGTCCTGGGTCCAGCTGGGATA